AAATGGAATTTTGAAAGGGAATCAGAGGTTATGAAGCCTGCATATCACAGATAAGACGTCAAAAGACAAATTTAAAAAGCAGGCCACATTTCCTCAGGGTGATTCAACAGGATTCAAGTGAGGAATACTGGAAACATCCGACAAGAAAATAGCCGAATAGAAATAACTAAATCACCACAAGCACAACAATAATGTCGTGCCGAACGATTTTTAAGGATCGGAAATATAACATTTCCGATTGAATGTTCGGGGCGATTATTTACAGCCTCCACACGGCACAAACAACGACTGACATACGTTCAGATCCCATAAACATGTAATCTTATCAGGTCTGCATTTTTAAGTCTTAGGATTCTATAATTTGACTGAAAACAGTCTGATGTTCGGCAGACTTAACATCGGCAAATCGCCACAATTATCCTGACGGGTATTTTTTAAACAAGCAGACACAAGTTTGCAAGCTCTAAGCATGCCATCATATTGGAATCATAATATGCGAGGTTTGAGACAAAATATCAACTAAGTTTTGATTTTCGTCTTAACGTCAGTAATATGCGAGAATATTCTGACAGAAAATTTAACTAGCGGATACACACAGTCAAACTACATGTCACCATATGGAGTCTGCGATAATAATCATAGAGCTGGCAGGAGCCAACAAGAAATTCGGATTTTGAACTCAATGAATTTTTACAGTTCTATCTTCAACTTAGCATTGTCAAAATGCAAGTATACCCTGACTGACACACTAATAACAGCGGTCACACAATCAAATTCTGCATGTAGGCAACTATTTTGGGTCCGGCAAGCCGAGTTTCCGAGAATTTAGCTAAAATAACATCTTCTTGTCAAATTCTCGGCTTTACGTCAGAAACGAGAGTATTCTTGATGGACACACTTACACAAGAACACACAAGTTCGAACCTCATAAGAATAACACCAATTCTTATCTTCCGCATTTAGTATAGGGTGCACATGAACTAGCCAGAAATTCGGAGTCTTTAACTAAAAAGACTATTAACAGTTCAATTTTAGGTTAAACAAGGTGTCAAGTGACATGTGACGGCAACTTGCTCCGTACTTCCCTACAGTGTTAGTTTATCTTTTATTAATTCTTCGGAGTTATCTTCCTAGGGATCACTTTCTTTTACATTTTTTACATCAACAAAATACCGGTGTGTTCCAAGTGGACACTTCAATACCAGCGGACACTTGATCAAATTTTCTAGACATGCTACTTAGTGGAATTTAGCTTTGGTCTAACATGAGCCAGACGGAAATTTTAAGATTTGAGCTTAAATGATTATTTCTAATGCAATAGTTGGCTTTACGCCGGCATTTAAAGTATTCTTGACGGACACACTTATACAAAAGGACACAAGTTTTGACACTCTAAGCATGCCACAATTATGGAATTCTGTTTTATTTAGCATAATGCTCATATGAGCCAGACGGAAATTTCGAGTTCAGCGCTTAAATGACTATTTACATTTCGATTTTCTGTATTCCCGACAAACATATTTTTACCAGTGGCCAACGAACACACACCGGTAGACACAAAATCCATTGATCATGTCACAATGTTAGGTTCTGTGGAAATCACAGGGGCAGGTCAGATATGCCGTGTTTTAAGCTAAAAAATCCATTCGATTTTCAAATAAACGTCGGAAAAAATATAAGTGTTCTACTTAAACCAATGGACACATGGTCAAACTCCTTAAGCATTCAACTATATAAAAATTTGCGACTTGCCAGCAGGAAACAGCGAGAATTGAGCTGAAATGACCATTAGTTTTACTGTTCAACTTCGGCTCAATGACGGCAAAATACCAGGGTATTCCCATACTGATATACTTACACCAGCGGACCAATGGGCGGACACTCTTATTCACCTAAAATGACAATCGATTTTCGGATTTGCGTCGGCAACCAAGATATTCCCGACAGCATACAGGAGACAATAAAAAATGAATATTAACGACGATTTTACTAAAAATAAACTTTTAACCAGTAGTTGGAATTGTAGGTCAAAACGATTTTAAACAGCTACGTTGGGTTTAGAATAATTATGCGCAATTAATTGGATCTAAATATGTTCCCTTATATTTTCTGAATTTCTATTTTGTCGAATAAATTGAGTCTTATAAAACAAGACTAAGGCTTTACTTTTGATTATTTAATCTCTATTTTCAATATGGATTGCATCACAAACGATTAAAATTGATGAGGCAAGACCTTGTAATAAATAAATCTAACGTTAAAGTATCATAGAACAAACTTATCCTACGGACGGAAAAACTTGATTGGCAATGTGATAAATGAGTCGCTGTCATAAATTTATTATTAATGACAAATTGGTACTGAAAGTAAATTTCATCACATATTAAAATCTGGTACGGCTGTTTGTTTATGTTGACAAACCATTCTTTCTTAGCAATTTTGAACAAGTTTATTTATCTTCATCCAGTTTATATATTGAATGTACATTTCGTGAGATATGCATCTCATTTTCAAGGACAATTAGAACACAACTTAGAAAATATAATAGAAAATACATTTTATAAATTATTTAAATCAAATTTAAATCAAATTTAAGTAATCTTTCTCTGTTTTTTGCCTTTTCATGCCATCCAGTATAGTATATAATGTATCTATAAATTGTTTCATACGGTGGCATAAAAGTGACATTTGCAAAATTTTTATTTTTGTTTGTTTTTGAAACTTTTTTTTATTTGTTTTTCGCAAATTTTTTATTTTCTTTTGTTTTTGAAACTTTTTTTTATTTGTTTTTCGCAAATTTTTTATTTTTTTTTGTTTGTTTTTGAAACTTTTTTTTTTTGTTTTTCGCACATTTTTTTTTTTTTTGTTTTGAACTTTTTTTTTTTTTTTTTTTTCACTTTTTTTTTTTTTTTTTTTTTTTTTTTTTTTTTTTTTTTTTTTTTTTTTTTTTTTTTTTTAATTTTTTTTTTTAGTTTTGTGTACATATTTTATTTTAGTTTTTCGTACATATTTTTAAGCCAATCAAAACAGTTAAATAGTATAGTTATCTCCCATAGTATAAATTACGCCATTTCCTTGTTCAAAAATTGATAACACACAAAGTTACTTTCCTTAGTATGAAATAAGCCGTTAATGTACCTAGGTATACACGATAGGGTCTCAAATCGAGGAATTTCTACGAAAGCGAGGGGTAGACTCTTCAACACTGGCACGAATGGCCACGGATAAGGTAACTTGGATTTTTTTTTTTGTTTTACGTCACACCGACACAGTATAGGTCATTCGGCGACGTTCCAGCGAAGACCTCAGGTGCCCTTCCGTGCATTATTTCAGGCACGACGGGCAAGGTAACTTGTTCAGAGGCATGTATTATTATAGATTATTTTAATTATATATAGTAATTGTGGTAAATCTAAACCGTTGAGCCACACATAGTGATTAAAGGCAGCTACTCAGTATGTGACTTAAAAGTGCATAAATCAAATTTTGTAAACAATCTTATTATTTAAATTTTGTATTGATAGTCCTGATATATAAAAGCACAGAGCAAGGATGCATGTTAGTCTAATTCATAAGACTCTTAAAGGCTTGTACACAACGTACAATCAAATGGGCAGACAGCCGTTCAACCGTGGACAGCCGTACCGGTATATATATGCTTATATATATCAGGACTATCTATACAAAATTTAAATAATGAAATTGTTTACAAAATTTGATTTATGCACTTTTAAGTCACATACTGAGTAGCTGCCTTTAATCACTATGTGTGGCTCAACGGTTTAGATTTACCACAATTACTATATATAATTAAAATAATCTATAATAATATATGCCTCGGAGCAAGTTACCTTGCCCGTTCGTGCCTGAAATAATGCACGGAAGGGCACCCGAGGTCTTCGCTGGAACGTCGCCGAATTACCTATACTGTGTCGGTGTGACGTAAAACCAAAAAAAAAAAGAAAAATCCAAGTTACCTTATCCGTGGCTATTCGTGCCAGTGTTGAAGAGTCTACCCCTCGCTTTCGTAGAAATTCCTCGATTTGAGACCCCATCGTGTATACCGAGGTACATTAACGGCTTATTTCATACTAAGGGAAGTAACTATGTGTGTTATCCATTTTTGAACAAGGAAATGGCGTAATTTATACTATGGGAGATAACTATTTCTATAAGGTGTAACTGTTTTGATTTGCTTAAAAATATGTACGAAAAACTAAAGTAAAATATGTACACAAAACTAAAAAAAAGTTTCAAGAACAAAAAAAAAAAAAAAAAAAATTGTGCGAAAAACAAAAAAAAAAAGTTTCAAAAACAAAAAAAAAAAAAAATGTGCAAAAAACAAAAATAAAAAAAAGTTTCAAAAACAAAAAAAATAAAAAATGTGCGAAAAACAAACAAAAAAAGTTCCAAAAACAAAATAAATAAAAAATTTGCGAAAAACAAATAAAAAAAAGTTTCAAAAACAAAAACAAAATAAAAAATTTGCAAATGTCACTTTTATGCCACCGTAGTTTCAGGAGTAATAATCATTATTTCAAATTACATAGTTCAATAAATAACATAATGCTGATAAAAATATTTTTTGTAAGAAACTTATTTAGACCCAGATCCAGAACTGATGCCTTGATTACTGAAGGGAATTTATATAATTAAATGACATTCAATATAAATTGTTGTGTCCTAATCAATTTGTTCATCTCTTAAATTCTGTTGACCAGTATTCCGCAATACAATCCTTCTTATTAGATTGCGATTGCATGGCATTTTTCGCTAATTCGAGAAAAATGACAAGTATGATCATTTAAGTAAAAGTTTTGTTTGTTTAATTTAATCTGAATTCTTTTTAGAGTCTAGTATAGTAAAGACTAGTTCATGTTTAAGCGTAAGCAAAATAACATTGCATCTATCTTAAAGACTATTTTACATTACCCCGGTATCAATTATTTCTCTAGATGTTTTTTTTCTTATTATAGGATAAATGCATATTTCTTTTTCAGGTATATCTATGCATAGTTTACCAGCAATTCTATTGCACATCTGCTCAAGGTATGCACGTTTATAATATAATTTATGTATGCTTTAGACGATGTTGCATTGTACGTTTGAGACCTTATAATTGGATACGAATGTGTTTCAAATAAATCGTTTGCCCATTGAATACAGTGTGTTTCCTTCAAATTTGGGGGTTTATGTGTACTCAAGTAACATAAAAAGTAAATTGAAAAAAAAGACCTTTTTATGTTTGAAAGTTTGTAAAAAATAATCTCTCTAATCTTTGAGGGTTTTTTCTAAATCAATTGGAATTTAGGATCACTTGTTATTGAACTTTTTTCAGGAATTCATTATGTTATCACATTCTTATAAAAGTCTTATTGTCTGAAATAATGCAAAGTCTATAGCTTTAGATAAATGTGTGTAGCAGACCAATCATAAATGTTGAGTCAAAATCGATTCTGCACGAGGGATCCATTGATTTAACTAAGACTCATATTGGGAAAACCTTATAAAACTCCCTTTCTTTAGGCACAAGGATAATAGCATTCTTATGTTTACAATTATCTAGGAAACTGTCCATATAGTTTCCTGAAGTGCAATGAATATCGGATGAGTGTGTATTGTGGCTCTCTTATTTCTTAAATAATTTTGAATTAATTTCCGGGGACGATTTGACTCATGCTTGGTTATTAAATGATATTTATCAAGTAAACCCCCAGAAAACATTACTTAAAATTTGACTTCAAAATGAATATCCAATGTTCACCCTTTCAGTTCAAGATATACTACATGTGCAAGTTTGTTTGCTTCTTTTTGTTTGGTGTGGGGGGGGTAGGGAGGAGCATTGCAGCCTGTTTTTTTAGTCAAAATTGTTTGCTCTGTAACAAGTAATAACTTACAGCTAAAAAGTACAGTCTTTTTACAGGTAAAGAAAGCAAACAAGTCTCATTTTAAAATACTTATTAAAGTATGTGCTTATGTTTCTATTATAACACACATTTTGTTAAGTTAAAGTAAATTGTAATATCTATAAATTTTGTTTCTATACAAATTTTTATGCTTTGTTCCTAGATAAAGTTTGTTATTTTATTAAACACTATAAGCTCAAATTATAAATATAAAACTTGTTGTGAAAATAATTTCAACAAACATATTAAGCAGAATAAAAACAGTATTGTAGAAAACATTTAGAAGAAACTTATGTTAGGTTACAGCTTCGTATCAAAGTAGCATTTTCCTTAATCAATACCAAGAAACCTTTTTAACAGTAAATATTGAAAAGTAATATCAGTTATAATCATGAAATGATCATCATACAGGAAACAAATTATATATTTTTAAGGGATCTACACTGCCTTCATTTATGTTCTTAATTTTAAAGATTGAGTATCTATTCTTTATTTGTTACTCTGTAGATAAACCAAAAAGCAAAATAACAAAGACGGTAGAAAGAACATTGTAAACAAAAGGACATTTTGTCAGGACAATTTTTAACAGTAACTGAAATAAAGTAGATAATGTATTAACAATAACAATAACCGAACAGAACATGATTTGAAAATTCCGCTCCTCATCCATAACATGTATACATTATTGTGTCAAAGTCAAACAATATAATGATATAATTCAATATTGAAAATAGCAGTATCTCTGGTACATATGACATAAGAAGGTATAGAATATATATCAGTATCATTTAACATGAATTTCTTGACGTACATGACAATATATTGACCATTTATTTATTTATTTAAGAAATAATATATCCCAAACAGTGATTTTATCGCTCAATAACATCACTGTTTGGAGTTCGGATGCGATGAATTATATCAAGAGGGCGTAGCCCGAGTGATATAATGATGCGCATCTGAACGACAAACAGTAATGTTATTGAGCGATAAAATCACCGATTTGGATATATTATTTCGATTCTAACACGACATCAACAAATAAATGCTGCCGTACGTGATATTAAGCATAATTGCGCCTGATTTGTTTCCGTACTTATTTTCAGCGCGTCACATTTTTAGTGGTTACGTCACGTGTATATTGATTACGTCACATGTCTAAATATAGAACGTCAAACAGTGACTTTATAGCATAATAACAGACACTTTCGGTTCTTCTATGTTCAATAGGAAAAAATGCGGTTCGTGTTAGAATATTTGTTTATTAATTATTTATTGTAATAGATTATGCCTAATTCTTATAGCAAGGTACTTGAACATTCAAGCATTTTCTGACCTCTATTAACAATTTTATAAGCACTTACACTAAGTTTTAATATTGTGTTTTTCAGCTACATGGTCTAACTGGTCAAACTGGGAAAGTTGTAGTGTTACATGTGGTAGTGGAACAAGAACTAGAAAAAGGACATGTTCTGTTGCTGGTAGTTGCACTGGAGATGCCACACAAACTGAATCATGTACAAGTGGAGTTTGCCCAGGTTAGTTACTTGAATTTTATAATCGAATATAAAAAGGGACTGTCAAATTCATTGATCATTATTATTGGTCAAGACTTTGCATGCAACTTAATATCTTTATTATCTTCTGAAACTTCAGTCACGTAGTTTCGATCGTTTATGTAGATTATAATGATTTTTCAAAACTAGTATCAGTAGCATTGATTTTTTATTGAATCATACCTCATCTTAATTAAGTAACTGTTATTAATGCAGTGATTTAAAAGACTAATAATTTTAGCATTTATTTAGATATTGGTCTTATTGCTGGATATGAATTCAAAAACTTTCTGTCTTTTCAAGGCTCATAATTTACTCTGAAAAAGAAAAGTGATTGAGCACTCATTCAATTTTTTAAAAAAGTCAGGCTTATTGAAATATGCATTGTGATTTTACAATACAATTTTTTAATCTTTTTACTTATTTCATCTGCTGAGATTGTCCATTAGGAAATAATAGAATAAATAATACAAAAATTGAAAATAATAGTGATAGACAGCACATTAAAATCAAGGTCGGCAATGTTAAAATCGCAATGATAACTTGCGTACTTTAAAGATGGAAGGAAAGATCAACATGATTTAATTTTATATTATCTTTTAACTAATGTTTGATAAAATATTACTCATAAACATAATACATTCATGCATATAGTCTTCTTTCTTAAAACCTACATTATCAAACAGAAGTTTGACAGATATCAAATGGTATTATAACTCATTTCTTGACCAGTTGATGGTATGTGGGGAGATTGGTCACCATGGTCAGCCTGCTCTCCAACCTGTGGTGACAGCAGTAGTTTACAGACTAGGTCAAGAAATTGTGATAACCCTGCACCTTCAGATGGTGGGCAAAACTGTCTTGGTAGCAGTTCAGATACACGATTATGTACCATTGGTGCTTGTCCAGGTACTGTATAGCTATGATGCTATGAGTTTCTATCTGTTTAGAACTGTAATTTGTAGAACTAAAATGAATTATTTGTTCATGAAGTATTGAAAAACAAGACACAAGGCTTGTTCAAATATCACCAAGAGTCATAAGAGAGTTTTATTGGTATATAAATTTCAAGTCAAAGACAATCTTGTCACTTTGAATTAAAACATGCATTTTGATATCAAATATTTTATTGGGTTGCGAGTGGCAGAGATAATATTTTATTCAATTGTTTATTTTCATAATTCAGTTAAAATGATCTGCTTCTATTCTACTATTTAATGTTGTATTAATGCAGTGGCAAAACACTTTTCATAATATACATGTATGCAATTTTGTTTCATGAATTGACTACATATTTCAAGGCGATTGACCAACAGTTGATATTTAAAAATGTTATTGAAAAATTATACATGTGCCTAAAATATGAAATAGACTGCCCTACTCTTTTTATAAATTGAACATTACAGATACATTCGGAATGATATTTACAGAAATATCTTATGGGAACCTGAATTATTAATCATTCATGTTAAGTTAATTATAAAACCTGGAAGGAATAAGGAAAAAAAATATTTGCCTTTCACCTGTTCACTATTTTGTTTGTTCATAATGTATGTAAGTAAGTAAGTAAAGTAATGTAATGTAATGTAATGTAAAGTAAAGTAAACTAAAGTAAAGTAAAGTAAAGTAAAGTAAAGTTAAAGAAGGAATCTAATATATCCTTTAAATGCAGGAACAACGAGATTTTGATATAAAGTTTGATACAGTCAATGAGCATATCTTTGCAAGACAGTGACAATTGTTTTGATGAAAACCTTTTAATAAACCTTCGTTTGTTTTGAAAATAAAATTTATGAAACAGAGACAGATTTAAAAATATGCGGGGTTTCCTTAGATGAAATTTGACCTCTCAAAGACTTGTGTCTGTCATGGGAAACCAACCTTTTTAAGACCTGCTCTTTTCCTGTTTAAGACTTCCTCCTTTATACATGAATGGATTTAAATAATTATAACAAATGTTCCCAATGTTGAGTTGAGTTGTCTTGCCAAAATTAAGTTTAAATAAATGTCACAAAAGGACAAATATCAAATAAAAATATTAAAATTTGTTTGTAGGCGCCGTATCTTGCTTTGAAGTATTATGCTTAGTGTTAGGGGGACTTTTCAAATTGTTGAGCCCTCTTGTGGTGAGGTCGACTAAGTTTTCGCCACTTTTCACTTTTGGCGGTTTGGTGCATGTGCATCCATCAGTTCATGCGTCCGCCTAGATATGTTTGGTCTATATCTTGCTTATTCTTAACAGGATTACAAAATAGTTTGATACAAATGTTCACCATGATGGGGTGATGGGTCACAAGCAAAACCTAGGTCCACAGCTTAAAAATCAATATCACACATGGGGGTCAGCGCAAAACCCATGTCTGGAGCGTATTTCTACATGCGTGGCTGGATTCTAATATAACTCGGGATTAATGTTCTCTAGTAAGGCGGAGTGTCAAACGAAAACTTTCAAGTTTCTGTGGGAAAGGTCAAAAGGTCAAGGTCTTACTTTAGGGTCAAGGTTCAAACAAGATATGTTTGTAAAACATGTATGCCCCCTTTCGTCAGTAATGTGGCCAGGTTATTGTCGTTTAGTTTTGACCTAATGTCCATAAAATCAATTAAGGTTATTGACTTGTCATGACTTGTCACTATGTCATTGTGACTGTAAAGGTTATGTATGGCACTTTTATGACAAACTTATCACAAATCTTACCAAATAATATATACATAAATTTATTGATCATGTAAGCCTCTATAATGACAGCCAATTTGATAAATTAACTTAGATCTTAAAAGGTGTATACCAAAATCATTGAGTTGTTGTGTTATTGGTAGGAAAACCTTCTACATACGAGGTCAATTTGACTTTGACCCTTAAAAATAAGGTTATCGGCCTAGGCCAAAACATTTGTGAAACTTAAAGGTAAAGTGCAATTTTTACTGATAAGGTCAATGTTATCTTGCCCTCTGACCCCTTGACCCCAAACATCAATTGACGTTATTTTCTGATCGAAAGGAATGCATTTGTGAAATATAAAGGTCCATGCGTTGTCGAGTTATTGATAGGAAACTGTTTTAACATATAAGGTCAATATGACCTAAACCTTTGACCCCCTGACCCCAACATCAGTGGTGTCATCTACTGGCAAAGACCAATGTACCTGTAAATTAAGGGCCAACGGACCATGGGTTGTCAAGTTATTGATCGGAAACCGTTTGTACGTACAAGGTCAACACGACCTTGATCTTTGAACCTTTGATCCAAAGAACAATAGGGGTAATCTGCAGGCCAATATTAATTCATCTTTGAAGTATGAAAGTTAAAGTCTGATGAGTTGTTTAGTTGTAAGTTGATATAAGTTGGAAGCCATTTAGACATTCAAGATCAATTTGACCTATACCTTAGACCTTAAGACGCAAAAAACGATAGGGGCCTTCTTCTTGTCGTGAACAATCCCAATACCATGCTTGAATTCCTAAACCTAAGCGTTCTTTAGCTATTAATCAGAAATCAATTGGTCAACGGACCAACCGACTGACAGGTAAATGCAAAGCAATAGAATCCCACTGCTTTGAAGGATGGGAAGAGTAATTACAAATTAAAACATTCATCTGTAGGTATTACTTCATTATACAGGGATGGATTTTAGTATATTAACTAGAAACAAATGTTATCCATGGTGACTTAACAAAATTGACGCAAAATGAAGGTCAATGTCAAAAGAGATCAAATAAAAATATCAAAATTTGTGCGCATTGTATCAGAAGTATTATTATTTGTGGTCAGAGTACTTTTGAGGAGCCGGCTTGCGCATAGCTCAACATAGATGTCAAAATGGCTGTTTGTGCGTGCGTGTGTGTGTGTGTATGTGTGTTTTGTTAATTTTGGGGGAAATTGGGCCATGTTCGTCCATGGGATGAATTTTTCAAAAAAAAAACGGAAAAAATTGGGTTTTTAGAAAACAAATGTTTTATTTCGATTTTCGGGGTCCCCGCCCCCATGAACGAACTTTATCCCGTCCCAGAGGTCGTTTTGGTTTTACCCAAGATTGGGTGGGGAATGTCAAATTTTGCCTTTTGGGGTTTTTAAAGGGGGGATGGTGTTGCCAAGATTTAGGGTTTTTTACCTATTTAATTTCATTTTTTCTCCCCTTTATCTTGGTTTTCTTTTTTAATTCAGGGGGTTTGAATTAAAACCCAACGGGGGTCGAATTCTGGGGGGTGGGATGGGGCTTGTTATTTTTTTAAAATTCTAAAGGGGGAATTTGGAAAAACCTTTTTTTTAAAAGACCCTTTTTTTGTTAATTTACTGGGAGTTTTAGATAAAACTGTACATCAATTATCAATGAGTACTTTTTGAAAAGAATAGTACAATGCACAAATTGAAGTTTTATACACATTTGCATGAAGATTTGACAGCGATTGGCTAATCAAATTCTGACATTAATATTCAACAATTCTAATAAATTATTTAGTTTATATAAATCAGTTTGAAGGTGTTTGAACTTACAAGCCTTTTTAAAAAAAATAAAAACTGTTCCTGGAACCAATCAGTACCAAGCAATGAGTGTAAATTTTCTTGCTCAAGGAAACAACGGCTGGCCTGTAACCGGGTTTGAACCTGACAATCCTGGCAAAAATTACATGTCTCATGCATTAACCACTCCGCCTAGCAGCCACTCCAATTATGAATTATTTGTACATGTAATTGAATTAAATTTTTTATTTTAAATCATTGAGAAAAAATGATGTAAAAAGAAACAGAGCTTAGAAAACATATAAAAGTGTTATATGTTATCCAACTTTATGTAGAATAAATTAAAAAAGACGTTAGAAAGTATTATTCCTGAAGAAAACGTGAAAAATCACTGACTTGCTAAACAAATTAATTGAACATTGTCTAGCGACATTATAAGCTTGTCTGTTTCAAGAAAAAAGGCAAATTATTATCAAATTTCTGCAATGCTGTCATTGTCGTCGAAACATTTAAAAATTGCTTAAATCATGATAGTTTCCCGAACTTTTTGACTGCCTGCAAGTTAAATATAGAATTAGGATTTTAATAACATCTCAACCTCAACCTCTCTGTCGATGTTTGTTAACTAAATGGTAATAACATAATAATATAATATTTTACATGTAAACCATAGTTTTGTTTTCTAGCTAACCTTGATGCAATTCCGGATGGACCTGCACAAATATTGTTCAAATTACAGCAATTTGGTAAAATTGGCCTCAGTCTAGGGGAACATCATAAAAAATCATCTGTAAAACTAAGACCTAAGTTAAATAAAATAATAGGTCAAAATTGGGGGGGGGGGGGGGGGAGTGATTGATTTTTCTAAAATCTATTAATATGTAAAAAATAAAAAAAACATTCTTCTTTTACTATAATATAGAGGTTTAAGCTTTTATATTTGACATGAAACATTGTCTGGTTGACCTCTACAAAAATTGTTCAAATTAGAGCTCTCAAGTCGGAATTGGCCATCCCGGGGCAAACATAGATTTGCCTGATATGTATTTATAGAAGGACATTAAATACAATTTCTTCTTCAAATCTAAAAAATAAAGCTCCGTTTCCAAAGCAACCATTGACTTTATAGCAGCCATTGACTCTTCATAGCAAACTGTAAATTTTCATAGCAACCATTGACTTTCATAGCAAACATTTACTTTAAATAGCAACAAGTGAATCTACCTTTAAATATTATAACAGGCAACCATTTATTTTGTAAAATGACTTCTTATGTAACTGTGGTTCTAGCATCCAGTAATGTTGTTTAACATGTGCTCTTTTTCTGATACAAATATGAACTTTGTGATATCAATTTAAGATTAAGATTTTATACCTGTTTTTATTTGCTTTATAGCTTACAATATTCTTTGTTCCACTGCGAAAAATATACTGATATACGGGAATGTACGGTCCCGTATTTTTGACATATACGGCGTGTACGGGATGTTTTTGTCAAATATACGGACCGAGTACTTATATTTATCCGTACTTGTTTAGTATACGGAGAATAAAATCCCGTAAACGGACTTTATTAAGGTTATTTCCCTAGTATACTATAAATATACCAAGGACCGTACTTTCTACATATACAGATTATATACGGAATCATATTATCTACATATACAGAAGATATACGGAACCGTATTTTCTACATATACAGATTATATACGGAATCATATTATCTACATATACAGAAGATATACGGAACCGTATTTTCTACATATACAGATGATATACGAAATAGTATTTTCTGCATATACATATGATATACGGAATCGTATTTTCTACATATACATATG